ATTTTGAGAAAAAAAGTTCCTGTTTTAGAGAGCCGCTGTGTTACTTATTTCTGTTAACTAAATGTGTTTTTTTTCAACAGGGTAAACTTTTAAAAACTTTACTTAAAAATGTATATTTTTGTTTTTTCATACCTATATTGGGGCAAATGTAAACATGTGCTAAAAAAAACATTATTGTGGTTCATATTACTAATACTAGGAAACGTTTACAATTGCCCTATATTTTATCTACAGAATTCCTCTAGTTTTTGATATAGATGTAACAATAACCCCGAATTTTTTTGGGTAAATGTTGTAAACGACGTTTTTTCAAAATAATTTTTTTATGAAAAAAAATTCTTCACATCTTTTTCGGCCAAAGTATCTAAAAATAATTACCAAATCAAAAAAGAAAAAAAAATGAACTGTTCAAAATCGTTTACCCCGCTTGGCCTACCCGTTGAGAGCTTGAAAAATGTGGCATATTTGCTAGCTAATTCCTTGCGGCGTGCTGACAAATCTTCTACTTGCCAGTTCTTTTATTATTAATTTATTTTATTGTCCATAAAACGGTGAAATATGTTATGTCGCAATAAAAATAAAACAGTTACGTACTTATTTGGGTAGCACAAAATTCGAATTAAACGTTTTTCCTGGGGGGAAAACCCGTAAAATTTAACAGCAGTAGTAAAAAATACTTACGTCAAATTATTGGTTGCAATAATAAAATAGCAAATCAATATTTCATTTGGATTGGCGGTTTTGAGGATTGCTCTTGACGAATCTGTCTGTCGCGCTTAATTAAATTAAAACATAACTAATTGTTCCTCATTATAATATCGCAAATTTAAAAATGCGTTTTGGACGAACGGAATGGATGAAAATTTTAGTAGGTACTTGTCTTTGTCTTATTTTATATCAGATAAAGCCGAGGATAAAGCACATTGATCTGGATTGTATGTATCGTAGACAAAAATAAGCTTTCAAAAAAATATTATTCACTTGAATAAAGAGAGGACTATCAAAAACCAACAAATTTTGCTGACAATGTTGAATTTTCAATGTCGAAGTACAACCGAATTATTCGGATATAGGAATTTAAATAAAATTAAGACAATGGTAGTGAGCAATAATACAAGAGACAAGGAGCACCTCCATTATTGACCCCGAATCGGTTCCAGGATTTTTGTTCGGGCAGAAATTTCAACCTTTCTTAAACGCATGTGCAATATCGAACGTGTATGGAAATCCTTGAATTATATTTTATTGTCATTATACTTCTACTCTTCTATTTCGGCTTTGACGGTATCGAAAAGTTGAAAAAGTAATTAAATTTTCCTCGTGCGAATTTTTTGAAATTTTTGCACGAGACAACTTTATTTAGATATTTTAACCTGGCCCAAGTGCGCTTTATTCACCTAGAATGTCAAAAAACAGTATATTCCAAATTGGCGAAAAAAGTAAATAAATAGAAGTCATGGAAAAAACTGGGCATTTTTTGTTAAGGCGGTGAATATTATTTTGTGGTTTAGTCTTAAAATTCGTTCGTCTACAGAAGAAAGGGGAAATATGGGTTTCATTTCTTGTAGGATTTTGTTTTTATGGTAATAAAATACAGTTTTAAGTCGCTTTCAACAGATTTCAGGATTTTACCAAATCTAACTATAATTTATATAATAAACTCAATTTTTTTGGCTCAGATATATGTCAAAAAACAAAATATTCTAGGCTGCACCTACAAAAAAATCGCGGTTGGAAGGAAAAGTCTAATTAAATAATGTAACGAAAACAGCAAGCAGGCCGGCGGAGCTCAGAAAGTAAGGCGAAATATAAAATAAAAACCAGATAAAGGAATATACTGATTTTTTCTAAAAATCTTCAAGAAACACACTCGGATTTTAAGTTAGCTGCAAAGTTTGCGAAATTTTTGAAGGATTTTATTTGGGCAGTGTCGTTAATAAATTTGTATTCATTCGACATATTATATAAATACAATTATTTTTCACTTGTTTTTTTTTTTTTTAATAATGAGTAGGCTTCATCGTCACCAAAACGATGAACGATCCCCGATCGACATATCGCATATATATAAATTCAAATGGTTTTTTGATTCAATAAAATTTTCATACAAGCTGTCGCCCATAACGGTAAAAAAAGTGAAGCATTGTGTGCATAAATAAACTTTATTGTTTGGCCGTTCCGTCGACCAGATTTCATAAAATCTCGCCAAAAAGTGTGGAATTGGTTTCGCTGATGGTTTGACAATCATCGACGTTTTTTTTTCGCACCCTCGTCCGCACAAAAAATCGCCGCGTAATTGAATTAATAATAAAAAATCGGCGGAATCGCTGTTGCCATATTTTTTCCGATGACAGATTAGTTTTAAAAGTCGGGTTTAACTCGTATTTTTATCGAATTGCTTCCTAATAAATTATTTCGCTCTCTCTGTAATAAAATTAAATAAAATACGCTGGAAAATACGTCTGCATAGTGATGAAATAAATAATTGTTTTTAAAAAATACCTGCTTGAGCAAGCCCCAGAAAGATGTTTTCTTTAACTTCTATCTGTAAACAGAACGTAATACGCAGTCTGGGCAACTGAATGTGTGGCGAAGAGTAAAAATGGTCAAGCAAACACTCGGTTAGAATAGAAATTATCAGTGAACTCTCTATAATGCTCACCATAAAAAGTTACAAACCATCAAACCGAAACTTGGAAACAGAACTAAAAATGAAATCTTGAAACAGAAAAGTGACTTCGGAATTTGGTTAGTTTTGGCTCCAGTTTTGATTAATACTGGGTTAATTTTTATAACAACTAACCGCAGTCTTCATTACAACTGTTATATTTAAAATATTAACATGTATCGTGCATTGAATTTTTCTAAATTACACAAATTCAAAAGATTCAGTTTTTTGACATATAAGCCTACATTATATATTTTTAAAATGAATATGTCATATAAATATGTTTATTAGAATGTTTTTCTGATTACAATAATAAATCAATTAATGTAAAATACGATTTCACATATTTCACAGGATTCGGAATTCACGGGTTCTATTTTTCAAAAACTTCTAAATGGATTTCCAGATTTCGACAATTTTGAAAAATAATTTTTAGGTTATGCGGAATATTTTATTCCGACATAATTAAAAATATATTTTGCCTTTTATAATATAAACCTTAAAAATGGTAAGTGGGTTTGTTGAACTGAACAAACCAAAATACTTAAGCTTATATTGACCAACTGCTATTTGTAAAAATTGGTTAACGTGCAAATAAACGCATCGTCAAATAAAGTACAAATAGTTAGTCGCATACTTCAAAATGACTGAATTAAAAGATGTGCTCAAAACTCAAAATTTTGGAAACTAGGTTTTATTTCACAAAGATTTGACAGATTTAACAGGTAACAACGATTTCACACAGTTCGGTTTTAACACTATTGTACAAGGTAAAAACTTCCCCAGGAGTTCGATAGGCAATCGCAGCCAATAGTCCGGACTTGACTTGAATGCGGTTTTTTTGCAACTTTGTTTGTCAATATTTTTTGATCAAAAACGACTGGACTAAAACATCATTGTAATCGGAATAAATCCTTCCGTTAACCACGCACATTTCTGTATTAAAATTTTTTTAACTAGACAGTATAGCACAAATCAGTAATTTGCAGATGATTTCGCGGATTATTGCGTGATTGCGCGGGATTTGTGTTGTATTTGTATTTGTTTGTATAGTATATGCCAGAAAAATAATAGTTTTGTTTTTTAGGCTACTTGGAAACAAACTTGGATACATTTTAAATCTTCGTTTACCTTGATACATTTAAAATCAAAAAAATGACAGCGACTCAAAATGTTATCAAGATAAATTGAACCCACTGTGTCTAATTCAAGGCATTTTACTTCTTGTCTTACAGATCAAATTTTGCGGGCAGGCGATAAGTTAAACAGTAAAATAAGAGAATTTGATATTATAACAATAACATGTTCGATGTGCCCCTAAAATTTTGTAAAATCTTGAATTTACAAAAGTTATGAGGAGTGTTTTTTCTCTGAAACTTAGCCCAATGATAACAACGGACATCTGTCTGTATCATCACTACAATTTGCTAAAGTTTTCGGAGATTGACTTACTGACCTTCCTTTGAATGTAATACCCGAAAATCCTAAAGCTTTAATTTGACAAGAGAAAATTCCATGACTTTCCTTACCCTGTTGGCAATATGTAGAAATATCGCGCGAGATACTTATAAGGATACCTCCTATATAGTATACAAAGCTTCAATATAAAGCTAGTAATAATGGCGAAAACTACTAAATTCTATACGAGTGTAAAAAAGAACAAACCAAAACAAAAAATCCAAGTCAAAAATCCACAATACCATAATAAACGCCTTTTAAAAATACGAAATGCCTGATGTTCAGTTCCGACGGAAAACGGTCTAAGACAAACAGAAGTCAGGTAATAATAATTGTTTTCCTTCCTTTTACTTTTACCTTTTTTTTGTTAATTCCCGATTTTAATTTATGGTTATTTATAAGGGAAACCCTAATTATTTGCTATAATAATTCAGGCACATAAAAGCACATCAAAATCCAAAAACCTAAATAAAACGCAAAATTTTTTGCACGGTGTTTAATTTTATAATTCTAGAAAACACATATTAAATAAGAAAGTTTAATAGCTATTGATACATTGCCTAAACCTATATATTTATTCAGTTTGATTGGTATTTTGAAATAAATTATATATTTCAAAAATATTCAAGGAGATAACAAATAATGTTGGTCTCTTTTAATGGAAAATTCAAGAGAGTAAATTTACTAAAAACGCGAATTTTAGTTAAAATATGTAATTAAATCGAGAATACAACCGATTTCGTCTACTTCGCCAAATTAAGAGAAATCATGATTTTAATAAAAGCACCCCGTAAACGCAACGAAAACGGAGATGGAAAACGCCACTAGCGAGAAAAAGAGCAAGCGATAAAATAAAAATAAAACAAAAACTTACGTTTTTCTGTAGGACATCCATGGCGAAATTTCGCGTCACTATCTTTCCGCCTGTCCTCTACAAGTTACACCTAAAAATGATCGAGAAAAACGTTTCATCAGCTTTCAGGCCGTGACCAAAACCAGACTCAAACTTTTCAGAAGGTAACACGTCCGTCGGCACGCCACTGCCCGCACTTTCATCCAGAAGGGCACACTGTACAACACTAAAAGTTTTACGACGGCCGTAAACTTAAATCCACATTATACACGAGTATAAGTCGGAAATAATGCACACGATTACTGAAAACTTGGTGGCAACCTAAACCTTCGATTTTGATTTATTTCAGACTCCAGTTTTTGACTTGTCTGGTTGCCTATTTAAATATTGCAAACCCATGGGGCCTTTGCACAAGTAAATAATGCACTACGCCTGCTATGTTGTGATAAATGAATAGAAACTAGATAGTGTGTGTTGTGATGCAAGGCGAAAACTAGATAAAAAAGGCAGACAACTATGCGTATACGTGGATAATATGCCTATAATTATATTTAATTTCGCTACTAATTAAACTAATTTGACTTTGGTGTTCGGCTATTGGTTTCACTAAATTGGTCGATACAAATTGGCCATGTTTCCGGTGGACATCATGTCCAAAGTGCCAAATTTTTTAATATCGAAATAGTTTAGCCAAAACTTCTCTAGCCTTCAGGAACATAAGTTTTTGTAATTCTTTCTAAATTCCGTTGTAAATATTATTAACAATTTTAGTCAGATATGCGTAGAACGCGGCAAATTTCCGTCGGACCAAATTTTCTAGGATTAAAAGTTTCAACTTTTCGCACAGCCCCGTCCGCTTCCGTCGGATAACATTTTTCTCAGCATACGTTCGCCCGGGCAATTTAGATATTTTTTTCTATCGAAAACGCGCACGTTAGCAAAATTAAGAAAGGGTATTAAGATTTGCGGCGATTTAAATTTTATGGTCACAATAAAGCAATAAAAGGCGGCAATGAAAATACAGTAGTTAGTTATAAATATACGCGATATGACATGTTTTATAGCGCGTCTTCGACGGCACTTAAACCGTTTTGATAAATATAAAACCTTTATTGAATAAGAGAGTGTTTATTTACAATTAGATGTTTGACTGGAAAATTAAACGTTGCACGTATGAACCAATTGGGAGAGATAAGATAAAAGTGAATTTAGTAGCAGTTCGACGGATTACTGGATAAAATTTAAGATTTAGAAACGGTACCCAATTTCACAAAAAATTGTAAAGAAAATTTTATTGCTGCGGCTTTGTTTGTTTAATTTATGGCGCCAGCAAAGTGCTTATTGAAGATTAAGCGTCAGGGGCGAATCGAAAAACAATGAAGCCGCGTCGTCTGACTTAAATTTTTTATTAACCGGGTGTCGCGAAAACTTTGCCGAGTCGAAGCGATTGAATCGTATTTCATTATATCTCGATGACAAAAAAAATAAGGCGGGAAACGACGAAAATGACGTACGTCTAGCGACATATCACAATCCAAAATTAACACACCGGATTTCGCAGTGCTCTGAATGATATTACCGGATTTCACCTATTTTGAAAAATCATTTTTAAGTTATGCGGAAAATTTTTGGTATTCCGTAGTAATAAAAACCATTATTAAGGTAAATTAAAATAAAAATACAAAAAAACCTTCAGTGTTAAATTAATAAATATGATATAAATTATATAATATTTTTGAGTTGTATCTTTAAATTTTATTGCTTAATTTCTTCCTGTAAGCAGTTTTATATCCTATACATAAAATTGTTTAACACATTTATTTATTATGAACATAAATACTAAATACAAACAAAGCAGCGGTTTTTTTTTTAAATAAAAACTAGAACGGAAATTTATGTAGCGTTCTTGCAATTACCAACTGGAATTTATCAGAATCGGTTATTAGGGAACAACAAAAAATGACTCCAATCTAGAAATGACGTAAAAATAGTTATTTAATAGTTGTTATTTGAAAATGATTTAATGAAGAAAAAGTGCTCAAGACTCTAACTGGATTTTAGAAACAAAATATGATTTCACAAAGATTTTTCTTTTAATAGGAAATTTTTTGTGTTGTAATTAAAAACTAATAAAGTAAAAAACAACTTTTAAAAAGTAGGAAAGGATATTGTTATAGAATTTTTTTTTCACCAAATTTCGTTTCTTATTTTTTCTTCTCTCTCCAAAGCCAAGTTTAATACATTTTCTTGGGCCGCTTGATAATTAAAGCGCATAAAAACAGCAAAAATATACTTTTTCAAATAAAAATCACACATGATGACTTAAACTTGTATCGTGTATATCTTAGAGACTTAAAATTGAATTTGGGAATTTGTTGAATTTATATTCTAATTGGAATTCGAACGGACGACAAAACCTGAATAGTTTTCCATCCGTGAACCACAAGTTGCATAAATACTGCAAAAAATCCAAATGAAACTTACGGAGCCCTCAGCTGTTTGCCAAAATCGGTAAGGGAGCAACCAAACATCACCCCTTAGACACCAATCTACTAATGATGCAAAAATAGTTATTTCAACTGAAGTATCTTTTACTTGATGAAAATCCATTTATCAAAATATGTAAGAACTAAAAGTTCAGATTTTCTCGAAATTATATATTTTGACATGAACATTGTTTCGACAACACTGTGTCTTTATCAAATGTCTTTTGATTTTGAGAAAGACTCAGAGTTATTTTTTTTGAAATAGTAATTTAGTCATATATTGGCATTTTTTAAAGTTTATTTGGTTATTTGAAAATGGTTTAATTAATAAAAGGTGCTCAAGATTCTAACCAAATTTTAGAAACACGTTATGATTTGACTAGTAATTTACCCCTCGGTGTTCCGCTTTTGAGCACGGGCCTCCAAAAAAAAAGTGAGCCGTAAAACTTCACGACGCACTAAACTGTCTACGCGGGTCGTATTTTTTTTTATTTTAACCGTGTGTGGAGAATAATTTTAGAACGCCACTTTAACTGTCTACTTTGCAATAAACTTTTATGACTTCGGAGATTTAAATTTCGATCTCCGAAGCGACGACAAAGTTTCGTTTGGTTCGGGCGCATACCGTCCGTCGGATGAATATTCATGGTCGCCGACCGTCGCTATAACGGTGGATTTTTTTCCTCCTTTCGCACCGAAACATGCCCTAATTGCAACTAGGAGTGTGTGTGCTATACGATCGATTAATTCGCCCAGATAACGATTTTAATTATACGGGCATTAAGTGGGTCGCCGGTGGGACACTAGGACTCGCGTTTCGTCGGTAACATTCTTCGGGTCGCATTCCACGATGATACACCAAAACCAGATGGTGACTTGTTTTTTTTTCCACCGACGGACCATTTTACTATGTAATCAGGTAAGGGATCTCGTTGTACCGAAATAACGCACCGTCATCGGTTTTAAAAGAAACCAAAAGTGGACCTTTAAAAGCACAACTTTAAGTTATAATTACTGAGGTCGGATGGGAGGTATTTCTCGATTCTCATAGCCGCGGCACCCGCGCGCCGCCATTTAATTGCGCCTATTGAGTAATCAAACGTCCATTATGAGTGCTTCATAGTCCATTAGGAAAATTAAGCGCAAAGCAAAACACACTTCACATACGGATTTCGCTGCCGACTCGGAAAATCTCTTCCGATATCTCTTTTTGAACGACCCGCACTATTCTTGTTTTCAACCGGAATAAAGCGACCATACGCGTTCCCGTTTACTCGCATTTCGAATTATTCGAATAAAATCTAATCCTCACTTTGGGGGCAAACTAATCAAACGGGAAAATTTATAAGCTGAATGCTATTTGAAATAGCTCTCAAGATATTATTTGGAAACGGAATAGATTTCGAAGTAACAAGGAAGGCCAAAATAATCTTACATCAATGCTTGGTTACCCTCTTACGGCAAATTAACCAAACGGGAAAATTTATAAGCTGGATGCAATTTGAAAATGCTGTGATTTGGAAACGGAATAGATTTCCATGTAATAAGGAAGACCAAAATAATCTTAGATCAATGCTTCGCTAGCCTCTAGCGGCAAACTAACGAAACGGAAAAATGAATAAGCTATTTGGAATAGTTCACAAGGCATTATCTGGGAACGGAATAGACTTCGAATAATTAACATATGCATGCATGCTGCACAAGAATCGAAATTTCTTTTAAATGACATTCGAATAGTGAATAACAATTAGTGCAACATATAGTATCAAGCTAGGTGGAAAATGAAGCAATGTAACCGAATCAAGTCATCAAAAACATTAATAATTTCGGTGAAAAACAAACTGGGGAGTTAGAGAGAACAGGGCTAACCTCAATGGGTGAGATAAATTTTCGCAAGTGCAAAATTGATGGATAAAAATCTGCGACTTGCTGATGGCTCTGTTATTATATAATAAATCATTAAATTATGCAGTCCTCTGAAATCAATTAAAACTCCCAATGAAGAAACAAAATGACCGTCACGTCGCCAAAATAAAATCCAAAATATGCGAAAATGACCGCAATAGATGTGGATTTTATTGTCTAGTAGTGACTTGGAAGCCAATTAACAACATTACTGATAAAAGTGATAAAAAGAACTCCAAGTGATGACACTGTTGCCAAAGTGACGCCGTCAAATGTACAAAAATATTTCCACCAGGTCGTCAAAACGGGAGAAAATAGATGCGGACTGAGTAGTTTATTTGTAGTAACTTGGAAGTCAACTGATAAAAACTATAAAGATTTGATGACACTGTTGCCAAAGCAACGCCGTCAGATTTAAAAAATGTTTTCGTCAAGTTGTGAAATGTGAGATAAAGCACGCAATAGCTTTGCATTATTTTATGGGCTAGTTAATTGATAGATTAGATCTTGGGCGGTTGGGACTCGTAAAACTTTCCTTATAAAAATAGCCAAAAGCAAGAAGCATCTAAGTGGCTTCAAGGAGAACACAAACTCTCCGATGTTAAGGTGGACTATTTTATTGGCCGGTCGCCTCTTAAATTATATTTGGTCCTCGGGAGTCGTAAAACTTAAAACTCGCCATAAAAGCGACTAAAAGTTAAGAAGCGTCCCCGCAGGTAGCGGCGTAAAGTCGGGCATTGTAAAGATGTCGAAGAGATTTCTATAGAAATTGGATTAAGCATTATCATTCTCGCTCTCCCAGTTGTGTGGGAATGGCCCTGTTGAAACTTTGAGAGCGCGCGAATTTTTATTTCTGCCGATGTTTTGAAGGGTATTTCCAAAGCGAGAATCAGATGCCGGTTGAATTTGGAATCGAGTCGAAATGTAGACAAAGCCGTTTTCGAAACAGTGAGACTTGGCATGGTTACCGCGCGCTTGGTATGCGCGATAGGTTCCGCGCGTAACGTCGGGTATGGCATAAAAATGACTCTGGCAATCTAACAAAGTGATGTAAATAAGGTCGAAGGCCCCCGCGAGCGTCTGTCGTCGTCGTCGGCGTCGTACGTAAGTAGTGTTCGGATACGCAAGAGTGCACCGGGGCGTGAACGATGGATGTCATCCGCGGGTCCCATTCATTAGCCGCTGATTGATGCTGACAGGTCGAAATGTCGATCAATCAACGGTTTCGTTGCGATAGATGGACGGACGGCGTCGCGACCGACGTGTCACCTTCTCTTGTGCTGGTAAGCCTACCCGTGGCTGAGCCATGAACTCGCGCTGCCCGCACCACTATTTCGGGGTTGTGTGTAATCGAGTCACCGTCGCGCACTGTTTACACACTCTCCAATAAATCACTTTTTCGTCTCACTTCACTGTCACACTGGAAATTACCCACGTGCTGCCTGCTGGTTAGCGTCGGAGATGGTTAGCCGGCGGCACATTCATGGGGTCGGTGTGTAAATTTTCGTTCAGCGCCGTGCCGTCCGAAGCGCGTGCGGAGTTCTTGCGCGTTCCGCAGTCGTCTGCCAACTGTCAATCACGTCGGTTCGAGGGGGTAGAGTGGGGCTTAGATGAATGACCTGTCAGCTCTCGGCCACGCCTCTCCGCCAATGGCGTCGACAGTGAACGACGGCCGCGATACCTACCGGCGTGGCCGCGAACGAAACTCACCCGCCGAGTCGACCGTGCGTCGACGCCGTTTGTTGCCGACGCGAACGCAAAGCGATCCACCGAGCTTTTCGATCGTTGCGTAAGCGTCGTAGTTTGGGCTTCGCGATTGTTTTAAATTTGAATTCTGCGATTCGGACCGAAAGCGCGTCGCACAGATTGTTCATAACTTAAAGATTTTTTGCCACCACCCGTTGGATACAAAAGGCAATATCTGTATAATTTTCTCAAGAAATACCAGGCAGAAAAATAGTATTATGAACCAGATGATCTTTGAGAATAAATTAACATTAAAAGGGCTAAAACTTGAGATTAGGAAAAATTACTTAAATAAAAACTTAGATTAACTGGGTAGACGATAGCTTCGGGAAACAAATTGCATTGTGGAGCTCAGTAACCCATTGATTTCACCAAGCAGCTACAAAAACATGGGGAAAATGTAATATTTGTAATGTTAATAATATGCATTTACCTTAACTTACTGCTCTATAATGATTGTCTTTTCATTTATGAGAGCTAATAATAAACAAAGGTTGCTCTTTAAATTCTCGTAAATATGTTACGAATCTATAATTACGGTGCGAGCAATAGAGCAACGGAAAGGAACACGTGGAATTAACTTTTTTTTATCGAGATTCCCACGCAAATTCAACTTCAATTAAAAGTCCAATAGTTTATAAGGTAGCCGACGGATATAATTTAACACGTGAATAAAATTCACCAATAAAAAAAATAGGGAGGTTTAAAAATCGATATAATAAAAATATTTTTAATTATATTAAACTTCAGTAAATGGGATGTAGAATTACGAACGATGAAGTACTTCAAAGAGTGGGTGGTGAGCGAGAGCTACTACATATCATAAAAGTAAAGAAAACATCATACTTAGGCCACCTACTCAGGCACGAAGAGTATGAGTTGCCACGACTGATAGTTGAGGGAAAGCTGGAAGGAAGGAGGGGTTTAGGAAGAAAGCGACTGTCCTGGATGCGAAACATCAGAAACTGGACCGGCCTGAACTTTGAACAAGTAATAAGAACGGCACAGGATAGACAAGCATTTGCCAATGTGATCGCCAACCTTCACTGAAGACGGCACGCGATGATGATGAAATGGGATGTAAATAAATGGCAAAGTTGTCGCAATCCGCCTTTAAAAAAATAAACACATCGCCAATGGTGAAAATAAGGAAAGCGAAAAAATTTTAGACAAAAAAACGTTATTAATTTAAATAAAAATTCTCTAATGGGTGGAAATTTCGGTGCAAGAAATGTTGTGATAACCAATTGGATTAAAACTCTATCAACTGCTTCATTTGTTACCGAAGACCACTTCAAAAAAAGGGAACTATTTTTTTATGAAATATGTTCATTTCTGAAATGGTTTAAATGTACCTATTGAATCTTTATAATTAACATTTCGATTTTCCGATTGCCCTAATTCGTCAGAATTTACTCATGGAGTCTTCTAATGATCGAACAAGTGCAAATAGGGCAGCAGGCTTTTTGAAAAAGTTCTGTTCTCCCTAATACTTATTAGTTTTGTGATTTACAAATTATTATTATCGTATTCATTTTAGTCATTTTTTGTAAAAAAGAGTCGCCTACTATCAAATATTTTTTGAATTTAATATTTTTTTTTCTAACTCGAAAATATCATTTGTAATATGCAATTTTTTGTTGCCACTTCACGCTTCGTTTTCTTACTCGAATGTATCTATCTATTCCTTTATAGAAACTACTTCGTAATCACTATCAAAATTTGCTATATTTTAGATACTTATTGATTTCCTTCATTCATTATCAACTTTTTTTAATAATGTTATCAGAAAAAAAAGGAAATAAATTTTTTAAAATAAAAACGAAATTTTCTTTATCGACTTGGTACACTGGTAACCACGACCCTCATCAAGATTGGTGAATATTCAAATTACTAATTTTGTAAATTTCTTTTCTATTTGAACTGCATTTAACCAACCATTAACACCGAAAAATTCGATTATTCATAAGTGTGACAAATTTAATAAACTTAAGTTATTTCGAGAATTGAAGTGCATTCGATTAGCGATATCAATAAAGAAAATTACTGCTACGTTGTTGGTAACGCTCGTCTAGCTCTATTTTGTTATAAATGAGAATATATTTTAAAGAGCCGACGGAAAGCGAACGACCTCAAGGGTAACAGAGTTGCCATATTTAATAGCCGTCGCTAGTCGAGGCATTTTGGGGTGTTGCGTTCGTTTTGATGGTAGAGTGGCGCGTTAAAATATTTATTGTTAAATACAGTATCAAAAGTTGTTGTTTAAGGTTTTGGTTAGTTGTTTGCTTTTTAAAATGTGTCATTTTTTGTTTCCCCTTAGCGTGATTTTTTTGTCCAGTAAGCTTTATTTTCAATACGGTACTATTAAATATTTCTGCTCTTTAATAGTCCGATAATCCTAGAATATTCCGAAATCTCAAATTGTCAGTATTTATTAAAATTTTAAATAAGATAGATGATGATTGTGTCAGCAACACATGAAAAGAAAGTTGAACCATATCTTTGGTTTTACCGCATTTAAAATTAAATTTTGTTGGGCCTCAAAATCCTGCATGTTGTGATAAAAAATAACTCTTTACGCGAAGGAGCATTTGAAATTGAAATTATTATAAAAAATCATGTTTATGATACGCTATTAGTAGCCTTTATTAAAAATTTCATTGTTACGTAGGTACTGTAGAGAAACTTTTTGGCTTCTTGCGTTTTGTTGTTACATCAGAGCAACGGTCAAACGACTACCGTCGGGAAATGAGGTTAACTAATGCATGGTATACCTACGTCACGCAAGTATCAAAACAACTGATGATTTGGTTTGAGAAAGTGTGTTGTGTTTGTACGTATCATCTGCATTACCTACATTAATTTATAAAAACCTAAATAAGCTGGTGACTTGAACTTTTGTTTGTTTGTTTTTGTTTTGTTTTGTTTATATAAATATTTTGTTCTTTATTGGATTTACGTACCTATATTTGTGGCATTTAGATATTAGAAACTAAAGTACGGAGTATCATTTTGTAATTCTCAGAATTTTTGTTCTACAATAATATTGCTGTTTTACCTCCTGGGATTTAATAAAAATGGTTCATAAATACTGCTAGGATGGATATTTGAAATCAATTTTAAATTTTATAGATAGTTTGTCCAGAATTTTTTTTATATTATTGCTTTATTTTGATTCTAGTGTATTTGTATTTGCATAATTATACCTCTATATAAACTTTTAGAAATGTTTTATTCCAAATTGGTAACGATATTCATTCATTTTGTCTTATTATCAAAATTTCGGGATTCTATCGATTTACACTGTTTTAATATTTTCCCAACAAATAACTATATAATATTTTCCTCCTTAATTTTGATAGATTTGTACCCCATTTAGTTATAACAATGTTATTGAATACAATTGACTGTTTAAATATTTAACTGAGAGATTGACAAATGTGAAATTGTAAAAATTATAACTTTGTCATTTTCGCCCAGCTTTAGTCACAAAGTGTTTTTCAATATTTTGAATCCGCATTCTCTACAAGAGTTTCTTAATTCTCAGCAAATGTTATGCAAATGTTATAGATTCGTTATAATCCCAACGCACACTTGTTTCTAGATACCCATCAAATAACTATAGGAATATGCAAATAAAATGTTATAAATAAAAATAGAGCAATTAATTTTCCTGCAAGCTGAGCAATTACGGAGGCAGAACTGCCTATCGATTTGACACTAAAATTTATTCCACGGTGATCACAAGAACACAAACAATGCCTTCCTTGCAGCAATATTAAGCTGCCAATGAACTTTCTAGCGGTAGAGTAAACTGTAATTAAAACAGAAATCTAAATACCGAAACCAATACGGTAATGATAAGTGCTGAATGTAGATAGTATTCAAGTTCGATATTTCCGTTAGTTGATTTTGTAACAAAGTTATTTTTAAAAAATTGCTCAAGCAAACTGTTATTGATGGAAAATGACTACAATTGAACATCACTGAAAGAAATCCTCATATCAGCTTGTCAGAATCTGTTATGCGTTCAAGTATTCCTGGTTCCAGCTAAATGTCTACGAAACCAATTTGGAAAATTAAAAACGTTTGTTTTTAATTGTTACAGCTGGAGATTGTCTACTTGGTGCTATAAATATAAAAATTATTTTTATAATCTATGATTTTAAGTTAATAATTAGATTGCTATGGATTATGGATAAAGTTTGACAATGCCAATTTCCATAACTAATTTCAAATTGCAAAATATAAAATAAAATAGGAAAAAAAAGATACGGTATTTAGTTGGGTAGCTATATTTACAACTGACTTACCCGTCGTCCGTGGTACGATTTCCTAAAAACACGACCATTAGTTTTCCATAACATTTTTGCAAAACAACGCGAATACATTCACTAAGTGACGTCTGACATGTCTGTCAAAATTGATAAATCTCAAAATTCAAGCAATGGGTAATATCTCCGAAAAGATTGAATTAATCCCAAATAATATTATTAATATCTTATAGGCTGGGTAAAAGAATATACATCCATCGCTTTCATCCATACTAAAACTTTAATAATCACCATAGTTATGTTTTAATTAAAAAATGGCAGTCTTTTTAAATGCAAAAGCAAAAATTATTGCCACAATTCTCTTCGCTTTGAAGAGTCTCTGTCAAAACAGTAGGGCTACATCACTTGCATGCAACGCACACTAGATGTTTGGAGTCTTAGCAATATAAAATTGCATTTTTGTGTGCGATATTTATAAAATTAGATTTCTGGAATGTTATCAAATGCAGACTACTATTAACACCACGCTCATGAA